TACTTTTAAAGGGAGCTCAATTGTGCCATGGTGGGCTTCCTATCATCTTTAATCTTAAGCTTTTACAATGACATGGTGCCTATGAGGAAACAGGGAAAGGGTGCTGAGGGAGGACCAGGCAGTCAGGCACCATTAAAGTCTTGAGACATGGGTTCATTTGCTGCTTGCCAGGTGATAAGAATGATGCCCTGAGGTCTCTTATTGACCCTAAGGTCTCCAGACACAGGATGGAATCATGGCTTATGATGTGCAAGATGAAATGATCAGGCAGAAATAGAAAAACGAAAATTTACTTCTGGGCCGGGCGTCGTAGCTCATGCCTGTAATCCCAGCACTTTGGGAGACTGAGGAGGACAGATCACCTGAGGTCAGGAATTCGAGACCAGCCTGACCAACGTAGAGAAAACCCATCTCTACTAAAAATACAAAATTAGCCAGGCATGGTGGTGCATTTCTATAGTCCCAGCTACTCGAGAGGCTGAGGCAGGAGAATCACTTGGACTCAGGAGGTGGAGGTTGCTGTGAGCCTAGATTGCACCACTGCATTCCAGCGTGGGCAACAAGACTGAAACTCCGTCGCCAAAAAAAAAGAAGAAAATTTACTTCCAAAACATCAATAAATGCATAAGACAGGTGTGTTTAAAATGCAGACTCAATCCAGGCTAAGTTTGTTGTGCACTTGTGATAATGTGTTTCTCTGCATTGATTGATTTAAAAGAAAAAAAACAAGAGAGAAAATGTGAATTTACTCAGGTTATCCAACTAAAAGGCTAGTGTCCAGAGCACACAGGTGGCCAGGTGTGATGGCTCATGCCTGTAACCCCAGCACTTTGGGAGGTGGAGGCAGGTGGATCGCCTGAGGTCAGGAGTTTGAGACCAGTCTGGCCAACATGGCAAAACCCCATCTCTACTAAAAATACAAAAAAGTAGCTGGGCGTGGTGGTGCATACCTGTAGTCCCAGCTACTTAGGAGGCTGTGGCAGGAGAACTGCCAGAGAATTGCTTGAACCCAGGAGGTTGAGGCTGCAGTAAGCTGAGATCACACCACTGCACTCCAGCCTGAGTGACAGTGAGACTGTCTTAAAAACAGAAAGCACAGAGATGACTGTCTAGCTGTCCCAAGCACTGGTCAGACCACACCTAACACATTATAGTCAAGTCAGGGCACCACAGTTTATCTATTTATTTTATTTTTTGGAGACAGGGTATCATTCTGTTGCCCAGGCATGAGTGCAATGGCATGATCTTGGCTCACTGAAGTCTTGACCTCCTGGGCTCAAGCGATCCTTCCACCCCAATCTCCCAAGTAGCTGGAACTATAGGCACATGCCCCTATACCTGGTTAATTTTTCTTTATTCTTTTTGTGGAGATGGGGCCTCACTATGTTGCCCAGGCTGGTCTCAAACCCCTAGCCTCAAGTGATACTCCTGTCTTAGCCTCTCAAAGTTGCTGGGATTCCAGATGTGAGCTACCAAGCCCGGCCAGGGCACCACACTTTAGAAGGGGCACCAAAAAATAGTGACTCCAAAGGAACAAATAACAAAAAGCAACACAGGGAACTGAATGGGGACAGGTGGAGGTACCACAAACATTTAGCTTAGTAAACAGAAAACTCAGAGAGAACCAGCATAGTTTACTTCAAATATCTAGGGAACTGCCAGGTGCTGTCTGAGGCTTCTCTGGGTAGCTCTTGAGAGGTTAACCTGGGCAAATCGAGGGGGGTTACAAAGTTTGCTCTTAATTAGAGTTAAGTCAAACCTTCGAAATTCAGGCAAGCTCGGCTCCTTTCTCATGGAAGCTGCCTGGCATACAGCACCTGCTGAGGGATCAGAAAGGGACATCGGGTGAAGAGAGCTCAGGGCCCAGCTGGGCCAGAGCTACAATGTTCTGGTGGGCAAAGAGGAGTTGATACAATCAAATTGCCTCCCTTGGGAATCTGTTCTAAGAAATCAAAAAAATATGGCAGTGAGCAGTGGGAGCTGAAGATGAAAGGATGCCACAAACCTAGAGGGAACAGACTCTGAGTGGTTCAAGCCAAGTGAAGTTAGGAGGAAGCAGAAACTGAATAAACAGTAGCTATCAGTGGGAGAAAAACCATAGAGGAGAAAGAAAAAAAATGTATAATGGAACAAAGAAAATGAGATATCATGAGAAGAAGACACAGAGAGCCTGAAGCCATGAGACAGTCCCGCAAGCCACCCCGATTTCCGTAACCGCATTTCCCACCGGTTAAGGTGCACACTCATAAACAAACTCCCCTTTTTTTCTCAAGTTAAGTTTGTAAACCTTTAGTCATTGTAACCAATAAAGCTTAGTAAGAGGATGCCTCCTCTGGGTGGAAGCTGGACCAGGGACCTCTGGAGGCCTTGTCCTTTAGCTGCTCTGTGACTGATGACATTAGTCATAGTACTTCATGCTTTGTTTCTCTAAAATACTTCCATAAATTTAGCCCGTTATCCTCATACACTCCCCTAAAATGCAGATAAGGTGGGTAATAATGAGTTTGGGTAAGGAGAGAGGTGGTGGAGTAGAGAGGTGAATACTCCATCTACAGTCAGGAAGCCAAGGTTCAGAGAGGTTAAATGACTAGGCCAAGGTCATTCTGCAAGTAAGACAGTTAGGGTCTCCCAACTTTCAGTTTAGTGTTTTTTCTTATTTATTTGTTTAATTATGTATTTATTTAGAGACAGGGTCTTGCTCTGTTGCTCAGGCTGGAATTCAGTGGTATAATCACGGCTCACTGCAGCCTCGACCTCCTGGGCTTAACTGATCCTCCCGCTGCAGCCACCACATCTGGCTAATTTTTTATTTTTTCTGGTAGAGACAGAGTCTTATGTTGCTCACGCTGGTTTTGAACTCCTGGCCTCAAGCCATCCTCCCACCTCAACCCCCCAAAGTGCTGGGATTACAGGCACGAGCCACTGTACCCGGCCTTGTTTTTCCCTATAATTCTATGTAAGTCTCTCCTTCACTCAGGTTTTCCATTTGCCATAAATCTCCTTCCCCAAATCCCAGACATGTCAGAGATTTCACTGTGCTGCAGGGAAATCTAAGGGACCCCACAGCTGCCCCAAGAACTCCAGTTTTCTCCTTACCAAGGTGCTTCTGCAGGAAGGCCAACATGGCCCGCACCATAACCTCCTGCCCTTCATAGGGGTCCAGACTCCCACGGGTTTGAGTGGAGAAGAATTTACCAATCAAGTTGCCAGTTATAAAAGCAAAGTCAGTTTGACTCCGATGAACAGAACCGCTAGGGGAAAAGAAAAATAACTGGTAGGGGTCTGGAGGCTAAGGCATATGTGTTAAGCACCTACTATGTGCAAGGTGTTTTTCATCCATTATCACACTTCATTTTCATAGCAACCTTGTAAGGGAAGTATTTTCCCCATTGACAGAATCCAAGGAGAGAAACAATCTGCTTAGGATCAGGTCACACAAGTAATTGGGGATGGAGTTAGGACTTGAAGCCAGATGTGCCTGGCTTCAAAGGTAGCTCAGCCCCTAACTGCAACACCTGACAGTGCAGGGAAAAGGCTGAGCTAGCTGGAGCAGGGACAGGAGCAAGGAGGTAGAGTCTGTGGCATGTGACATTTCTGTTACTACAATCTATTAGTTATGGCTTTTGCCCAGTGAATTTCAAACATTCACAAAACAAATTAAGACCTTCTTTAGAACTGTACCTCAGAGTGAAGAGGAAAAAGGAATTACTTGCCTTTATTTAAATAATCAGAAAAGTAAGAGTGAGTGCTTTGTAAGAGGGGGTTTCTGGGTTAGAACTTCAGTCCTTTGACACTAAATACATTTAGTGAAATCCTCACTGGGTTAATTTTGGGCTAAATTATTCATAACTAAATTTACCAGTCAATTCAGTGAGAGAAAGCAAATTTAAATGCTAAAGTATTTGTCTGATATCACAGAAAGACTAAGTTTAAAAAATGCCTTAGTTAAGGCACACAAAAAGGTACATATATATAACATATGGGATACTTGAGTATCCAGCACTCAGTTGAATAAGTGACACATTGCCGGGAGTTAAGTCCCCTGTGTATATCCCTTCCTAACTGGCCTCACCTCCCTTCCCTCCTGGTCACAGTTATCTTGAATCTGACCTGGGGGAGCATTCAGGGAGTGTCTACTGCCATGAAACCAAACTGAAGGAGGAGGGTTGACAAGGCAGCCAGGACCAAGATGAACAAGGGAAGAAGCCACTGGCCATCTGCTGACCCCAGTGCTCAGGGCTCTGGATTTGGCATTTCAACTACCCAAGTGACTCCAGAGGTTCATGGCATGTAGTCACTTGTCATTTGCCGAAACAGGAACCGGATCCCAGAAGCCTGTGTGCTGCTGGGCTCGACTGCAGGGTAGGAGCAGTCCGTGAGATCTCAGCCCGACATATGCAGCTCAATATCACCTCCCACATGTGGAACATTTCTTAAAGTCACTAGAAATGATTTTTTCCCTATGAAAAATGGCTCCCAAAAGAAAACCAACTGATAGTGCTGATGATAAAAGTGAAGAAAATATGGCTTCTCTTGACCAGAATATAGACGGTTTATAGAAGACAACATATGTTACAGTGACCTGTGATTTTAATATTCACAAAGGTGTCTAAAATGTGTCTGGTGAATATCAAAGGTCCACCTATTCACAGTCTTCAAAGACCCAATAAAATTCCCAAATGAGGCTAGCAATCTCTGGAACTCACCCAGACCCACACCACTTCCTTTCCAACACACAATCCCATAATGCCCCTTTTCAGAAAGCACGAGGTAAATCCTGTCATAAAATCAGATAAACTATGGAAGAAATCACTATAGATGGAGCTTAGTGGAAAGAGAGACAGACAGAAAATTCTGAAAGAATTTAGACTTTGAAATTCGGTAAGTATTCAGGTATTCTACTAATGGGTAGAAAGTTCTAGGTAATCCAGAAATTAAGGGTGCCATAGCAAGTAGTGAATGGCGAGGGCACTGGGATCATGACCTTGTGGTTTACTCACAGAACGGTTATGATCCTAGATTGTTCATGCTGGGCACATATCTTCTTCATCAAATTGACACTCTCCATTGTCTGGAATTTCTCAGCATTGATAAAGAACACAGGGCCTCGGGCCTTGGGGTAAAAGTCATGTTCAAGAGGAAACATCCAAGCATCCAGAGCCACCGCACACCTGGAATAGGACCAGACATCTGGAATTGCCAGTGAAATCTCAGGCAAAAATAGGGTGGAAGGGGGAAGGGTGGAGTTCCTCCCTTTGTTGGGTAAAGGCTCAGAAAGCCAGGAAGGGGGTACCACGGCCCACGGCCTTCAGTTAGGATCTTATATAGGAATCACTTTTACTTTTCACCCAAGATCCTTCTAGATTTCAAACTCCCTGAAAGCAAGGATCAGATCTCCTTCTCCTGGATCTACTCTCAGGTGACTGACCTGAGTTCCACAGAATGGCACTTCACTCATTCATTTAGTTATTCATTCATTCAACATTCATTGAGTGCCTACTGTGTGCTGTGGATACAGACATAAGTGAGGGTTCTTGCTCACAAGGAGCTCCCAGTCCAGTAGGGAAGACAGAACAGACAAGGTGACAAAACAATATAGCTTAGTGCCCTGATTGCACAAGGTGCTATGTGAGGTTAGGAAAAGCCTCCTTGGTGCCAACAGTAAAAACATGTCACCAAGGGCAATATTATGGCCTTAAGATTTAGCCATTTCCCTCCTCGGACCCCTAAAATGCTCCTCCATTCCTCTCCATCTCAATAAGGGACAATTGTCTTCCACTCACATAATAGATACACAAATGAAAAACCCTGGGCTCGTCATGGTAGCTCATCCCTATAATTCCAGCACTTGGGGAGGCTGAGGCAGGAGGATCACTTGAGCCCAGGAGTTCAAGACCAGCCTGGGCAACATAGTAAGACACTATCTCTAACAAAAAAAAATTTTTTTTTTTAAATTAGCAGGGTGTGGTAGCATGTACCTGTAGTTCTAGCTATTTGAAAGGTTGGGACATAAGGATCACTTGAGCCCAGGAGGTTGAGGCTGCAGTGAGCTGATTGCACCACTGCACTCCAGCATGGGCAACAGAGTAAGACCTCTGTTGTTCTTTTTTTTTTTTTTTTTTTTTTTTTTGCTTTTTTCTTTTTCTTTCTTTCTTTTTTAATCTCAAAAGGTATCAAGACCTCTGTTGTCTCAAAGGGAAAAAAATAAAAATAAAAACCTGCGTTTCCTCTCTTTCCTTCACCTCCCATATGACCAAGTCCTGAAAACTCCAAAACATATCCTGACTCCAATCACTTCTCTCCATCCCACTATCTCAATTCTGATGTAAATTCGTCATCATCTCTCACCTTGACTCTGAAACAGGCTCTCTCTAATGAGCCTCTAGGCTTTTGGTCTTGTCCTGCTACAGTCCATTCTTCACGAAGTAGCCAGAAGGATCTTATAAATGTAAGACTGATTTTTCTCTGTCGAAAATTTTCAACAGTTTCCCATCATACTTAGAATAAAATCTACACCTCCTTACCCTGGCCAAACAACCCTGTGCTCTCGTCCCTACTTCTCTCTCTGATCACAGCTTGAACTGCCTCCCCGTCACTCCCTATGCTCCTCCCACCCTAACACAGTAAGCTTCTTTCCACTGCAGGGCCTTTGCATTAGCTATTCCTGCTGGCTGGAAAGATCTTCCTCTAGATCTTCATACCACTGACTTCTTTGCCTTTCCAGTCTTGGTTTCACTTTTTCAGAGACATATCAGCCTGTTTTCTTTTTTGTTTTTTTTTTGAGACAGGGTCTTGCTCTATTGCCCAGGCTGAAGTGGTGCAATCATAGCTCACTGTAACCTCGAACTCCTGGGCTCAAGGGATCCTCCTGCCTCATCCTTCAAAGTAGCTGGAACTACAGGCATGCACTATAACACTTAGCTAAGTTTTTTGGTTTTGTTTTTTAATTTTTTTGTAGAGACAGCGTCTTGTGATGTTTCCCAGGCTGATCTCAAACTCCTGGTTCAAGCAATCCTCCTGCCTCAGCCTCCCAAAGAGCTGAGGTTATAGTAGTTAGCCAACACGCTCAGTCTTATTTTTCTTCATAGCACTTGGTCATGGGGATTTTATTATCTGTTGGCTTTTTCACTCGTCTGTCTCCTCCCACAATAACATAATTCTATGAAATCAGAGATCTTGTTTTCTTGTTTACCACTGAATCCTCAGCCCCAAAACAGTGCCAAGAACATAGTACTTGTGTAACAAATACTTGCTGAGTGAATATATGGTGTATGGAGCTAAGCACAGCAACACTACTAGGAAACTCACCGAAACTGGGTCTCCTTCGCCAAAGCCAGAATAGCTGTGGCCCCTCCAAATGAATGTCCCATCACAGCCACACGGCTCAGGTCAATGTTGCCCTGAGGAAAGCAGAGAACTTAGCCAAGTCAGAAACTCAGGACTGCTCTTTAGCAATTCATCAGGAGCAAGAGGAAGAAATAGTGAGGCGATAAGGCCAAAGGCACAACAGCGAGTGAGCCCACCAACATCACACTATCAAGAATCTCTTGCCTATGGAAGGCGCACCAGTCAAGCAGTCCTTGGACTGAACAGCTTTGTGTAGGCAGGAATTGTGAAAACTGTACTTTTCATGCTTACTTTTATAATCTCACTACTTAACAATAGCGGACCAGGGTAGACATTCAAATATCTATGAATAGGCTGGGCACGGTGGCTCACGCCTGTAATCTCAACACTCTGGGAGGCTGAGGCAGGTGGACTGCTTGAACTTAGGAATTTGAGACCAGCCAGGGCTCAAACATGACAAAACCTTGTCTCTACAAAAAAATACAAAAATTAGCCATATGTGGTGGTATGCACGCACAGTCGCAGTTACTGAGGAGGCTGAGGTGAGAGGATCGCTTGAGCCCAGGAGGTTGAGGCTGCAGTGAGTAATGATTGCACCACTGCATTCCAGCCTGGGTGACAGAGCGAGACCCTGTCTCCAAAAAAAAAAAAAAAAGAAAAATCTATGAAGAAATACTGACCGATTGGTCTATGAGCATGCTAACAATAAGAGCTGTCTCCATCTTCTAGAATCCCCACCTTATACACTGGTCCAAGGTCCATGACAAATGGACTGAGCTGAGGGTGGAACAGGGATGCTCCTGCTGCCTGTCCATTGTGCTCTGGAGCAAAGACCGCTTGTGCAGAAACCAGTGCAGGTTCTACTTTCTCTTTGGATATCTGTTGTGATTTTTATCCAAAGCCAAGGGGAAGAGTGAGTCTGTGCACTCTAACATGCTCCGCATGTATCTATTTCTGGTTGTACTCAGAAGCCTTCAGGGTATGGTTATATAAAAATCCATTGCAGCTGCCTGCTAAGGGGCTCAGGAGGCCTCTCCAGGCTCTGCGGCCCAGCCTCTGCTCTGAACTTCTGCTCTGCTCTCCCCACTGTCTATTCCAAGGCTTTGTACCTAAATCTTCCCCCTTCACTCGGTACCCTTAGATCAACAACTTGGTTGGATGGCCTCTTCGGCATTTAAAAAAAACAGGTAAATATATTCATATACCTCTAAAATCAGAGGTATAAAAAAAGTCTCCTACCTACTCCGTTTTTTCCACATGATTGCCCACCACCTACCTCCAAACAGGTAATTTCTTATGTGTCCCTGAAGAGATTGCTTATATTCATAAGTTAACATGAATATATACTTTCCCTCTTTTCATACACATGGCGCCGTATCTTTTTGTACATAACATTAGTACATAAAGAGCTTCCTCATGCTTGTTCACAGCTGCATTTGACTTGGCCATGGTATAGACAGCTAGCTGATCACCAAATCTTTTCCTTTTCTTCCTGGTCTCACAGCTAAACTATTTCCCAGCAGTTAGATAAGAACTTGTAAATGTTCTAGCCAACAGAATGTGAGCAAAAGTGGTATCTCTATTTCCACACCTGGTCCATAAACGGTCTCATACAAACCTCTATCGCCTTTCCCATTCTGTTGGCTTAATGCAAACAACAAATTTGGGATTCACAAATTTTGTGAGGTTAGAGACATAAAAGAGATTATAAAAGAACCTTGGATCCCTGAGTTGCCTCTTATATAGGAGCACCCATATTAAACTTCATGTAGGAGAGAAATACATTTAATACATTTCTACTGTGTTAAGCCACTGAAATATGGGGTTTACACACTAGCAATTACCATTCGCCAAGCAAATACATCCACTGTCCCATAATTAAACCAGTTCCCTCATTGGTGAGTGTTTAGGTTACTATCAAACTTTTGCTATAACAAACAACACTGGAATGAATAACACTGTCCCTCTATCATGCTGCATGTGTGCAGGTATTTATTTGTAGGATAAATTCCCAAAACTGGAAATTACTGGGTCAAAGAAACATATGCATCTGTAGTGTTGATGATTCCAATTGCCCAATGCCCGCCATGGGACGATTTGTATTCTTACCAGCAATGTAGAGAATATCTATTTCCCCACAACTTTGTTAACAGAGTAATCAGTGTTTAGATCTTACTCAATTTGATAGATGAAAATGTATTTAGCTTTTTTTAATGCTGTATTTCCCCTAAAAGGCTGCCCTCTTAACTAATCTAACTGTACTGTAGCCTGGCATTTCCCAATGCCTTTTTTTATTTTGAGATGTAGCCTCCCTTTGTCACCCAAGCTGGAATGCAGCAGCACAATCTTGGCTCACTGCAACCTCTGCCTCCTAGGCTCAAGCTCAAGCAATTCTGCTTCAGCTTCTGAGTAGCTGAACTATAGGCGCATGTCATTACGCCCAGCTAAATTTTTTATTTTTAGTAGAGATGGGTTTTGCCATGTTGGCCAGACTGGTATCAAACTCCTGGGCTCAAACGATCCGCCCCACTCAGCCTCCCAAAATGCTGAAATTACAAGCATGAGCCTGGCTTCCCAATGCCTTTCTCAGGCTCACTCACAGGCATGCAGGGCTAGACCTCAGTGCCCAGGGCCCCCCGACTCTCACTTTACCAACACTGTAGCTGGCAAAGCACTCTAGATTCCAGGGTCTGCCTTACCTATTGGTCATGTAGGCAGATGCTTCTCCTGGAGAATATTACCAAAACCTTTAAAATATACGTTCTGAAGAGGCTTTCGGGCACACAGCACAGGCTGTGGAATCAAAATGCCCCAATTTCATGTGTGACTCTACTACTTACTTAGCTAGGTATCTGGGGTACTTAGTCTTTTTGATCCTTGATTTCTTTCTTTCTTTCTTTTCTTTTTTTTTTTTTTTAATAAACAAGGTTTCACCATGTTGGTCAGGCTGGTCTTGAACTCCCGACCTCAGGTGATCCGCCCGCCTTGGCCTCCAAAGTCCTTGGATTATAGGCATGAGCCACTGTGCCCGGCAGATCCTTGGTTTCTTTCTATGTAAAGAGATAAGAATGCTTACTGCATAAATTTGTGGGAGGAGCTCTTAAAATAGCAAGTCTCGCTTGTAATCCCAGCACTTTGAGAGGCCAAGGTGGGCAGATCACCGGAGGTCAGGAGTTCAAGACCAGCCTGACCAACATGGAGAAACCCTGTCTCTACTAAAAATACAAAATTAGCTGGGTGTGGAGATGCATGCCTGTAATCCCAGCTACTTGGGAGGCTGAGGCAGGAGAACCACTTGCACCGGGGATGTGGAGGTTGCAGTGAGCTGAGATCATGCCATTGCTCTCCGGCCTGGACAACAAGAGTGAAACTTGGTCTCAAAAAAAAAAAAAAACCAAAAAACCAAGTCTCATAAAGCAGTAATTGTAAATATACATGTATGTATTATATATGTATTATATACACACACACCATTCTTAATACAATATAATATGGCATAGCTATTAAAAGTGATGCAGTTGGGTGCAGTGGCTCATACCTGTAATCCCAACACTTTGAGAGGCCAAGGCGGGTGGATTGCCTGAGCCCAGGAGTTTGAGACCAGCCTGGGCAACATGGTAAAACCCCATCTCTACAAAATACAAAAAATTAGCTGGCATGGTTGCACACACCTGGAGTCCTAGCTACTTGGGAGGGTGTGGTGGCTACAGTGAGTGGTGATGGCACCACTGTATTCCAGCCTGGCTGACAGAGTCAGGCCCTGTCTCACAAAAATAAACAAAAATAAATAATAAAAGTCATGCTATACAGGAGGATTGCTTAAGCCTAAGAGTGTGAGTCTAGCCTGGGCAGACAACAAGACCCTGTCTCTAAAAACTTTTTTTTTAAATCATACCATAGAAAAATATTAATTGGGTGGGGGTGGTAGCTCACGCCTGTAATCACAACACTTTGGGAGGCCAAGGTGGGTGGATCATGAGGTCAAGAGATCGAGACAATCCTGGCCAACTTGGTGATATCCCGTCTCTACTAAAAATGCAAAATATTAGCTGGGCGTGGTGGTGCGCACCTATAGTCCTAGCTACTCGGGAGGCTGAGGTACGAGAATCACTTGAACCTGGGAGGCAGAGGTTGCAGTGAGCTCAGATCATGCCACGGCACTCCAGCCTGGCAACAGAGTGAGACTCCATCTCAAAAAAAAAAGAAAAATATTAATTGGCATAAGAAGATACTCATACTGTTTTGCTAAATGAAAATAAGGGCACAAAACAGCTTGTATTAAATGATAACATAGGCCGGGCGCGGTGGCTCAGGCCTGTAATCCCAGCACTTTGGGAAGCCGAGGTGGGTGGATCACGAGGTCAAGAGGTCGAGATCATCCTGGTCAACATGGTGAAACCCGTCTCTACTAAAAATACAAAAAATTAGCTGGGCTTGGTAGTGCGTGCCTGTAATCCCAGCTACTTGGGAGGCTGAGGCAGGAGAATTGCCTGAACCCAGGAGGCGGAGGTTGCGGTGAGCCAAGATCATGCCATTGTACTCCAGCCTAGGTAATAAGAGTGAAACTCCGTCTCAAAAAATAAAATAAAATAAAATAAAAAAATAAAATAAATGATAACATAATTGTGTAAAAAAATACACACATTAATACATTTTTTAAAAATTGGAAGGACAAATATAAAAATATTGAAAAAGGTTGTTTCATTTTTCTTCATACTTTTGTGTGATTCTTGGTTCTCTGAATACAGCCTGAATGACTTTTGAAATTATGGAGAAAAAAGATTGGGTGGGGGTGGGGCATGAAGAATGTACCTTCATAAGCACCAAATTCCATGTCCAGGATGGTTTCATACCCTCCTGGGACGGTTCGTGGGATTCCCTCAAAGGGAGGACTCAGCCTGCAGTGGACACCGGTTGTTTGCTGCTCAGTAGCCTGAACCCTCTCCCTGCTATCCACCTGGTCCTGTGGTGGTCAATCACCTGACCCAGAAGTGGGACTGTAACTTAGGCAGGCCAATCTGAACACCCTCTCCCTCTGACGCAGGGACTGGCGCAGAGGGGCATGAGACCCGTAGTGTCACAGCTTTCCCAGATTAGTGGAAGCTAAGACAGTCTCTATTCTTTTTAAACCTGGAGCTATAAATTGATACACAGGCTTCAATTGCTAGCAACCATCTTTTTTGCCTAAAGAACAGAGTCTGGTGAGAAACCCATATATATATACAGAGAAACTGAGGCAGGAGAGGGGAGAGAAGAGTGCCAAGGCTTTGATGATAATGTCCGAGACACTGGGTCTAACTACACCGGCGTCGAGTTGGCCTTTGGTCTTCTTGGTAGTTTTATGAGCCAATCAGTTCTCTTTTGTTTACACTACTTAGTTAAGTTTCTGTTACTTGTAACCAAGAAAGCCCTGAATACTGGGCTCTAGGACATACCAATTGTTTCCATACCTTCAAAGTCATCAGATCCAAGCCACCAGGCAAGATGTTAAAGACGGCCTGGCCAGCAGTGACCTCTTGCAGGATCTTCAACACCCGTAAACACTCCCTTACCCGCTGATGCACCTGCAACAGAGACAGTCCCAATGGGAACTGGAACACTCCACAACTGTCCAGCGAAAATCTCACTCATGTACAGAGCCAAGGAAGAATGCATAGGAGTTTGCCCACCCATGCCTCAGCAAGTACCTTGGGTGCCACGTCCCGAGAAAGGCTCAGCTACCTTGCAGCTCACTTAAGCACTGCCTAACAACATAACATACTCAGCCCTGCTGTTCTGACTCCACCTACCTAACTATAGGGCTGTCAGAGGGATCCAATGAGATGATATATATGAATGCATTTTAAAAACAAAAGGAATTAGGAGTGCTGTTATTAGCAATCCAGTACTGGATTCCACTTGTCCATTCACATCACACATCTATTGTTTTTGTCTCCCAAGCACTTACCCCCCTTCCTTCTTCTGTTAACCCTGCCCTTTGATGATGCCTTTCCCACTCCCATTCTAATAATGTATTTCTGATGGGAAGGTCTCATTTTGTTACTTCTCCCCAGGCCTGGAATCCCTCTCCAGGATTTTTCAAACTGTAGTTTTGCACCAAGGCAGGGGACTGAGGGAGCAACTCAAACACAGCCCTCTTCTCATAGATGACATGAACACACACAAGCTCAGAACTGTCAAGAGCTGTGGTTCTGATGGGGTGCCGTGGCTCACACCTGTAACCCCAGCATTTTGGGAGGCCACAGTGAGAGGATTGCTTGAACTCAGGAGTCTGAGACCAGCCTGTGCAACACAGCAAGACCCCATCTCTACTAAAAAAAAAAATTGTGTAGTGGTGTGTGCCTGTAGTCCCAGCTACTCAGGAGGCTGAGGTGGGAGAATCACTTGAGCATAGGAGGTTGAGGTTGCTGTGAGTCATGTTGGTGCCGCCGCATTTTAGCCTGGGTGACAGAGTGAGACTCTGTCTCAAAAAAATAAAAATAAAAAAAAGTAGCTGGGCATAGTGGTGCATGCCTGTAGTCTCAGCTACTCGGGACGTTGAGGTAGGAAGATCTCGTGAGCCCAGGAGATTGAGACTGCAGTGAGCCGTGATCATGCCACTGCACTCCAGCAGCTTGGGTGACAGAGCCAGACTTGTCTCAGAAAAAGAAAAACAAACAAAAAAACCCCTATGGTTCTAACCTTAGAAAGTAAGTCAGTTTGAAGATGAGACCCACTAACCAAGAAACAGACAGAAATGAGGATGAAGAACAAACCCTGATGGCATTTGAATCTGGTTCCAATTGTTCTGCTCTTATAGTCTACCTATATGAGCTATCAATTTCCTTTTTTGCCTAAGTAAGTCTAAGTTAGATTTCTGTCACAGCAGTTGCAGGAGTCCTGATTAATATCCTATGTATTTCCATTGATGTGGCAAACTCAGATCCACTATGACTGAGATTTCAAGAGAGGGTTAACTAAAAGTCTTGCTATCAGATATAGTAGACAGAGGACAGGCTCACTAACTCTCCCTCCCCAACTGGCACAAACTTACCTGGGGATTCCGAATATGAAATTCCTTCTCCCCTTCCTCAACCCGACGGAAAGGGATCCATTCCTCCTCCAGCGATTCATTGGTGGACTGGTTCTCTTCTGGGGCCGGCTTGCAGAAATAGGTAGTTGCTGCTGACCGGTCCCTGAAATACACACATCATCAGAAAGAAACCAGAAAATATTCTTGAGCTTATTTTCCCCTTTACCAACTCCTCCCTTTCATCCAAGAGCCTCTATATATCACCCTTTGGCTAGGAGGGGAGGAAATCTGGGACATAAATAGGAAAGTGGAAAAAATATAGATTTTAGAGACAGAATTGGGTTTGAATTTCAACTCGCTGTGTCGTTTTTGGGAAATTACTTAACATCTTTGAACCTTGGTTTTCTCTTCTTTAAAAGGTGTATAATCCTGGCTTGCATGGTTGTCAAGAGGATTAGAAGTAGTACATTGATAAGGGACTAGTCTATATCTTAGCTCACTGTAGGTACCCAATCCATGGTGGCTCATCCCTCACCTGTGCTCTGGCACAGCAACCACAAAGCCATGTGAGGCCAGCTCCATGCAGAAGGCTGAATACAAAGTCCTGGAGATTCAAAAAGGAAGAAGGAAAAGGGATCAAAAGAACAGCCCAGCCTTCACCCTCATTCCAATCATGCTCTGCTAGCAGTCATATTGTGGAACTACCTTAACCTTATCAACCTTACCATATCAACCTTAACTATCTATCTACCTCTGGCTACCTTTCACTTGGGAGAAAAATAAACATTACTATATTGAAGTCACTATTATTGGGGGGGGGAGTTTCTGTTAAATACAACTTGCACAATTTCTAACTGATACAGGGAGGTCAGGTTCTTAAGTTCCTTTTCACCTTCTCCCACTTTTCCAGGGAAGGCAGTGAACTGGACTTTAGAGCCAGAGAGATTTCTGATCCCTTCCTAGTTCAAACTGTGTAACTTTGGGCAAGTCTGCCTTCCAGAGTCTGTTTGCCTACCTGAAAAATGGGCATCCCTGCCTGTTGACCTCACAGGGCTATGTGGGAACCAAATAAGACGATAGCACACTGAGAATGGTTAGGTATTTAACAGCACATATTCCTCCCTAGGATAGGAAACCATAGGGCCATGACCCATGGGAAGGATTTCAGAGCCCGAATTAACCACAGATGCAATGAGGTTAAACAATGTCCTTTATCCTCCCTTCCTTGGAATTTCATTCTGGTTAATGAAAAATATTTATAACTGACTTGCCCAAGTCTAATGAAGTGTGAAGTCTCAATACAGACTCTTAGACCAAAAGGACCACCTCCAAAGTCATGTGCTCACCTGCTCTCTCCATAAATACCTGTTGGCCTAGGAGGAAAATGTTTCTTTGCTTCTTTTCCCTGCTAGACTATAATATTCCTGAAGGCAGGAACTCTCTCTTCTTCACTACTGAATGCCCAGCCCTGGCACACAGCAGGTACTCAATCGAACAAGAAGCAGCATCAGGCCAGGCGCAGTGGCTCACGCCTATAATCCCAGCACTTTGGGAGGTCGAGGTGGGAGGATCACCTGAGGTCGGGAGTTTGAGACCAGCCTGACCAACATGGAGAAACCCTGTCTGTACTAAAAATACAAAAGTAGCAGGGTGTGGCGGCTCATGCTACCCAGCTACTCGGGAGGCTAAGGCGGGGAATAGCCTGAACTCAGGAGGTGGAGGTTGCAGTGAGCCGAGATCACGCCATTACACTCCAGCCTGGGCATTAAGAGCGAAACTCCGTCTCAAAAAAAAAAAAAAGGCCAGGTGTGGTGGCTCACACTTATAATCCCAGCACTTTGGGAGGCCGAGGCAGGTGGATCACGAGGTCAAGAGATTGAGACCATCCTGGTCAACAAGGTGAAACCCTGTCTCTACTAAAAATACAAAAATTAGCTGGGCATGGTGGTATGTGCCTGTAGTCCCAGCTACTCGGGAGGCTGAGGCAGGAGAATTGCTTGAACCCAGAAAGCGGAGGTTGCGTTGAGCCGAGATCGTGCCATTGCACTCCAGTCTGGGTAACAACAGCGAAACTCCATCTCAAAAAAAAAAAAAGAAAACAGCATCAAAAACCATCTAACTGCCTTTCTAACCTTATCTCCATTCTTACTTTCCACTTCCTGCTGTTGGCTACAGTTACGGGAGTTTATGTTCCTGCTCCTCTAGCAGATGCGACTTCCCTGATTTGTTAATCTTGGTATGTCCCACCTTCCTCTCATGCCAAGGGGCTGGCACAGCACAGATGCTCCACAGATGTCTGCTGAATGAATGAGAACCTAGCACACACACAGCCCTTGTATTCATTCAATAAATACTTATTGGTAAACAACTACTTTCCAGGCACTGTCCTAGGTACTGGAGCAATAGAAGATAGATGTGGTCTCTGCCTTCAAGAGCTTACAATCCAGTGAAGAAGACAGGCATTAAAGAATAATTACATGAGTAATTTATTTATTAGAATTATGTTAAATGCTGAGAAGTATAGATTGTCCTATGAAAGCACATTCTGGGAAAATTAATATAATAGGTTAATTGTCAGGATGGGTGTCCCTAGGACAATGACATCCAAACTAAGATCTTGAAGGTAATCTGAAATTAGGAAGAAAAGAGGAAGAGGGGGAAGAGGAAGAGAAGAGCAGAATGGTGAATAATCCAGGCAAAAAGTCCAATTTGTCTGGAGAGCTACGGTGGGGCAAATAGCAAGGAATGAGCCTGGAAACTTTGTCTTGGACCTGAATCAAGGTTAAGACCATGAGAAGAACAGAATTAAGTTCAAAGACCTATTAAAAACTTTAAGAAGAGACATTCATTCATTCACTCAACAAATACTTACTGAGTACCCATTATATGCTGGGTACTGCTTCAGGTGCTGGAATGACAGGAACATATTTCATTTTAAAATGGATCTCTCTGGCTACAGTGTGGACAATGGTTTGGGGGCTGGGCAGCAAAAACAGATGCCTTTGAGATGTGTAACATTCTGGGACATAAACTAGACATACATGTTGATAGATGAACAGAGAGAACATTCACAAGCTTAAATAGGAACACATGTACTACCGTTATTTATATAACATATCAAGGTGCAGAAATCAGAATTTATGGAAGAATTATAAATGAATAATGAAATTTGGGCCAAAGTTTCCCAAGTCTGATAAAGGAGATCTTACAATTCACCTCACCATATCACTCCATGTAGAGAACATGAGAGGAGAACCGACATGGGTGTGCACCTAGTAGGTGTCAACTGAACGGAATTCTCACAAACCACCCTGTGGGAGTGGCATTCGTCTTTGACAGATGATGGAATCTAAGTTCAGAGAATTAAACAACCTTCCCAGGCTCACACAGAGCACAAGGGATATGGCTGAGATTTGCAGGTTAGGCTGCTGGCTCCACAAGTGCAGGGAGCAAGTCTATCTTATTTGCTACTATGCCAGTGCCACACGCAGAATGGACCCTCATGTTGAATAAATGACTCTTGGCAGGGCACGATGGCTCAAACCTATAATAGCACTTTTGGAAGGCTGAGGCGGGAGGATGACTTAAGCTCAGGAATTTGAGATCAGTGTGGGCAACACATTGAGACCTCATCTCTGCAAAAAAATAGCCAGGCGTGGTGGTACATGCCAGCTACTTGGTGGCTGAGGCAGGAGAATCGATTGAGACCAGGAGATTGAGGCTGCAGTGAGCTGTGATCACAACACTGCACTCCAGCCTGGGCAATAGAGCAAAACCCTGTCTGAAAAAAATTAAATTAAAATAAATAAATAAATGACACGCTGATCACAAAGCTCATGCTCCTTCTAGCATTTCTGGGTTGTTACACAGGAAGAAAGCTGAAAGTGTATATTTACATAAATGCTGGACCATGAGAAGTAAAGCATATGAAGGCTGCTGAAAGGCTCCACAAAGTTAAAAGGACTTTGAAAAAAGCCTTCCGGAGAAGGTGAACCCAATGCTACGGGAGGAAGCAGATGGGAGATAAGAGAGCTAGCAGATGGAAATGTCTGTTTTTTGCCCTTTGAGAATAAGCTAAGACTCAGTAGCTGTCACCAGGCAAGGAGTATGGCAAGGTCCAAGGGAAAGAAGCTCTTACCTGAAGGCTCCCAGGCCATGGGAGAAGATGATCAAGGGGTATCCAGAGTCCTTTGTCTTAAAGGGGCCATTCCAGCTAACAGGCAGGCGACAAGATCCTAGCAGAGACATGGGCTATAGAATCTCTGGCTGCCCCAAAGCTGTTATCCCAAGGGCAGCCCGAGTACAGGTATGGGTGGGGACATGTGTTTCTCCCTTCTGGAGAACCACCATGGGCCCCTGAACAACTCAGAGCAGTCAATCACCTATTTTTTTCTCCCTTTCTTACCTATGAAGAGTGAGTACAATAGAAAACGGGAAGCTAGGCTGGGCACGGTGACTCACACCTGTATTCCCAGCACTTTGGGAGGCTGAGGTGGATCACGAACGGGTGGATCACGAGGTCAGGAGTTTGAGACCAGCCTAGCGAACATGGTGAAACCCCATCTCTACTAAAAATACAAAAATTAGCTGGGCGTGGTGGCAGACGCCTATAATCCCAGCTACTCGGGAGGCTGAGGCAGAACTGCTTAAACCACGGAGGTAGAGGTTGCAGTGAGCCGAGATCGTGCCATTGCACTCCAGCCTGGGTGACAAGAGCAAGACTCTGTCTCCAAGGGAAAAAAAAAAAAAAAAATTGAAAGCTAAGTCCGAAGGGGCAGTACTGAACAACTCTGGGGTAACTCAATGTTACCCTGCTCAGAAGAGGGGTGACTGGAGGGAAAACTGCAGGAGACTGTATGCTCCTTGATAGTTAAGGACCTTTCTTTGATAAACACAATAGCTGGCATAGAGTAGGAATTAAAACATGCTGAATAAACGAGCAATCAGTGCCATTTATGGAACACATTCTATGTCCCAAGCACTGCACTAAAGGCTTTACATACATCCTGTACTACAAACCTGCAAAGGCAGGTATGCAGACAGGTTTAGTAACTTGTCCAAAACCCAGGGCTAGTAAATTATAAACTCTGGATTTGAATCCAGGAAAGTCTAACTTAATCACCAAAACTCTTACATATGTAATTCTCTCCCAACTCTCCACACTGCACTGCCTAATGGATACCCCTTACAAAAGGCTGGACACTGCAAGCTGTAAGGTACTGTGTCCACCTGGGGATCTCCCAGGAACATAACCAAACAACTGGGAAAGCATGCAGAGGTCAGGCCAGCCCTTACCCACAGCCAGGTTGAATAGCAAGCCGCCCCAGCGCTTATTAACCTTCAGGTACTCGGCCAGGCCAGAGCAGTACTCATAGCGGGGAATCCACAGAGGCTGCTCCATGGTTTCCTCCGCCTCTTGGCTGGGGTAGAAGAGTCGAAAGAAGCTCCCCTGTAGGAAAGAAGAGAGCAGCTGCTCAGAGCAAGGAGCCCGGGCTAGATTTCTTAACAGACACACTCAGCAGGTGTTTGGGGCACCAGCAAAACAGGGAAACTTGAGGTTCAATTAGCATACCTGAATTTTACATTCAGAAATTCGGAAAGAAGCAATTTGATTTTTAGCATACATGTAAAGCTTATGTTATTTCAAATAGACAACTGTATTTTGAATTACATTGCGGGAGGGGGCACCAAAAATATTTGAGTGCTTGGGACAATTAAGATTTAAATCTGGCTCTAAGCCTAGGCCTGGAGGAGCCCCAGTAGTTAAAGATTAGTCCTCAAACTAAGCCTAGGCCTGAAGGAGCCCCAGGAGTTAGAGATTAGTCCTCCAACTGAGCCTAGGCCTGGAGGAGCCCCAGGAGTTAGAGATTAGTCCTTGGGCTGAACAGGGTGGCACTGGTAGCTCATCCAGGCCACTGCTAGAATGGCCTTTGGGAAGCAACAGCACTCATTTTACATGGGAGTAGGTGAGGGATTACTAGGAAGTGTGCGCCTCTCAAGGGAGACAGGAAGTCCAAAGGCTAGCAGAGAAAGACCTAGGAACTGAGCCAGGCACAGTGGCTCATGCCTGTAATCCCAGCACTTTAGGAAGACGAGGTAGCAGGGTTGCTTGAGGCCAGGAGTTAGACATCAGCCTGGGCAACATAGCAAGATCCTGTTTCTATTATATATACATAAGTATATATGTTGTTATATATCATATATATATGTTAGTTAATTGAAAGAGTCCGAGGATCTGATAGAGGACAAGTCCAGAAGTCAAAGATGGAGGGGAAAACAGATCAAGGCAGGAGAGAGAAAAGGAAGTTGTCCTACCCAGGTCAGGGATCCAAGGCCAAAGGCACATGCCCATGGCTCTTCCTCTCATACACTCAGATTATGAAAAGATCAAAACTTTCAAGATCAGGCATCTGCCTTCAAGAAAGGTGAGACTGCGAGCTGTCTTTGAAGCTAGAGCCACTCCCCCTGTCCTCCTAGATGGAAAATGAACCCATTATCTCTGTCTATTGGGATATTTCTAATGTTTGGAAAGGGGAAGAAAAAGCTCAGAGAACACAGTGCTGGAGGCTTAATAACCAAATCCAGACCCACTCTAACTCGGTTTCCCCCCCATGGGAGTGCAGAATGAGACTTGTAATCAGTAAGTCACAGTGCCAGCCGAAGCAGTGCAGACAGAAGGAAGGGAGCTGGGGACACTTACCTGGAGATTCTGACCCTCCATCACATCCCCACAGCCTACGAGATGGGGTCCTGTGACAGGTGGAAAGTCCACAGACTGGTTGACCCCCATTTCATCACCGGGTGAATCAAATGACTTGGCGGAGCTAAACTTGCTGGCTGGATGGGGGAACACAGAACAGCCTCTTGCTGGTTTCCTCTTGGCTTCCTGTTGCTGATAAGTGTCATCTGCCACCCTGTCCACCCTTCCTTAGCACCCCATCCCCCCTGCCAGTCACTCATTAAATCTTGCACCTTCTACTTTGCTACATTGCCTTTTCCAAGGTTACAGGGTTTTATTTATTTTGCTGGGGTGAGGAGATGGCTGTAAAGAGGACAGAGAGCCATCCATACTCCTCCCAGCCCATTAACAAATGTTTATCCAGCAGCTATGTGCGCAGCATAGCAGCAGTGCCGCAGAGACTGTCACACTTGCCTCTCCTGAGGCTAACAGTAACCACAAAGACCCATTATTTATGGTCAGCACTGTACTGCCCTCTTTATAGACATTATATACATTACATCATTTCATTCTGTTAACAACTCTCTGAGGTAGGTACTTTTTTTTTTTTTTTTTTTGAGATGGAGTCTCACTCTGTCGCCAGGCTGGAGTGCAGTGGCATGATCTCAGCTCACTGTAACCTTGGCCTCTTGGGTTCAACTGATTCTCCTGCCTCAGCCTCCCAAGTAGCTGGGATTACAGGCACATGCCACCATGCCCAGCTAATTTTTTTATTTTTTATTTTTAGTAGAGATGGGGTTTCACCATGTTGGTCAGGATGGTCTCGATCTCCTGACCTTGTGATCTGCCCACCTCGGCCTCCTGAAGTGCTGGGATTACAGGCATGAGCCACCACGCTTGGCCTGAGGTAAATACTATTAAGACACTGTTTTGGCTGGGTGGGGTGGCTCAGGCCTGTATTTTGGGAGGCCAAGGCAGGCAGATCACCTGATGTCAGGAGTTCAAGACAGGCCTGGCCAACATGGCAAAACCCTGTCTCTACTAAATATACAAAAATTAGCTGGGCACAGTGGTGGGCGCCTATAGTCCTAAACTACTTGGGAGGCTGAGGCAGGAGAATCACTTGAACCTGGGAAGTGGAGGTTGCAGTGCACTGCACTCCAGCCTGGGTGACAAGACCCTGTTTTAAAAACAAAAACAAAAACAGAAAAAACCCTGTTTTACAGATGAGAAAACTAAGGCATAGAGAGGTTCAGTAACTTCCCCAAGTTACCTAGTGGCAAACCCAGTTCTGCCTAATCCAGAAACTGAGTTCTTAACCATTACTAGTCCTGTTCACGGGGAGAGTCAGTTATACATATGCAAAGTCAATGACCTAAGCTTTTTCTTAAAACTGTTTTATTTTTTGAGAGACAGGGTCCGGCTATGTTGTCTAGGCTGGTGTCAAACTCCTGGGTTCACACAATCCTACCTCAGCCTCCCAAGTAACTGGGATTACAGGTAAGAGCCACCACACCCAGCTTTAAACTATGGAATATAGTATGGCACTTGTGCTGGGCCTTTAAAGATGGGGAAATTGAGAGGCAGAGGAGGAAGAAAGCACTTATAGAAAAAAAACCTCAGAGGAAAAAAAGCAGAGAGATGGAAAAGTAAGATGTGGGCAGTAGATCAAATAGAAGCTTTCAGCGTGACAGCTGTGCATGCTCCTGACTAGAAAACATTCCTACAGCTCAGCTGCTTCCTAAATTGGGGCCAGTGCTCCCCTATCCCTCTTCAATTTCACCACGTCCAACACCATCATCATCATCACACTTACTGTGTGCCAGGAACTATGTTTAGTGCTTTTCATATATTATTTAATTTAATTCTTACAATAGTCCTCTGAGACATGTATTATTATCTCATTTCACAGACAATGAAACAGATGCTTGACAAAGGCAATTTACCCAAGAACATAAGCAAGCAGAGCCAGAATTTGATCATGGGCAATGTGGCTGTAACATGAGGATGTCAAACTTCCCAGTATCCCTTGCCTTATAATTTATGTGGGGCTGACCCTTCCTTAACCTCCAGGGTTGAGCCTTCATTAACTGGAGTCAATCAGTCCTTATTCTCTGGTCAGTATTTGAATGAAGAGTGGGCATATGGCATTAGGTTGGTCCATCAGGAGTAAAGCCTGGGACTTTGGTTTGATGGTTGAATGGAGAAAGGTTCTTCCTTGTTTTAAACTATCTGCGATGTGCAGCTGTCATCTGTCAAGTGGCTTTGAACCACTGCAGCCATTTTTGCTACCTTGAGGATGAAGATACCCACGGTGGATGGCAAAACTGGGAGAATCACAGAGAAACAGAGTCCTATTTGTGAAGACATTAAGAATCCACAGATTAGACCATACTTGAAACCTAACCCACTCCTAGACTTTCTAGTTACATGAGTCGATGAATCTAGTTACAAAGAAGCTCCCTTTCTTATTTAAACCAACCGAAGTTAGATTTCTATTGGTTGCAACCAAAAGAAATGCATACACTGAGTCTGGGGTCCACATGTTAATGATTAAATTATTCTACTTTCTTTAAGATGCTCTGGGAGAGATTCGGGAGTTCCAGTCAAAGCATGTCTGAATAAGAAGAGACCTAAGAGAGCATTTCTGTCAATCCTCCCCGCAATTGTCTTCCCCTTCTCCCAGTACATACACCTGCTTTACCAGGGAGGACACCAAAGTCCAGAGAGATTAAGTGAGCTGCTCAGAGTCACAAGTGGAACAATTATTACAGCACACAATCATTGTCAGCTGCCACTGTCTGGTCTCAATAATCCTAACATCATTCTATTTAACTTTGAAAGATAATACATTATTTTCTTTCTACTACAGATAATGTCTTTGTTTCTCTTTAGCAAATTTAAAAAACAAACCCAATTCTTTTGAAAAACAAGCTAAGCTCCTGATGTCAGTGGGTTGTTCAGCCAGAGTGAAGGGGGATGAGCTCTGCTTAGCCTTGGACCCTGACCTTCCCCACCGCTTGTTGTTGAGGTATACACATGAAAGACCTACTGCTGGAGCCACAAGACACATGTCACTCACATGACAATGAAGCAGCTGCAAGTTCAACTGTCTTATAAAAGAGAGGCAGATAAAAGACCACAGGAGTTCTGAGAAGAAACAGTGCTCCTTTAGCTTGAAAGTAGAGAGCAGGGGAAGATGGGAAAGGCTCTCTCAAGCAGGAGAGTGTGAGCAAAGGTGCAGTAAGAAGGAAGCTTGTGTAAGAAACGGGCAAGGCCGAGAAAAGAAAGTTGTGATCAGATCTGGGGAATAGCAGTCCCTCAAGGGCTAAGCGAAAAAGCTGGAATCTACTCTGGAAATGAGGTCATGTCCATGAGAGACAGTCTGAAAGAACCACATTGGAGGCACAGCATCTTTGATGCCTAGTTTTTGGGTTTTTTTTTTGTTTGTCTGTTTTTTAGACAGGGTCTCGCTCCATCTTCCAGGCGGGAGTGCAGTGGCTCACTGTGGCCTCACCCTTCCAGCTCAAGCGATCCTCCCACCTTGGCCTCCTGGGTGGCTGGGACTACAGGTGCTTGCCACCATGCCCAGCAAACTTTTGTATCTTTTGTAGAGACAGAGTTTCATCATATTGTCCAGGCTGGTCTCAAACTCTTGGGCTCAAGTGATCCTCCCACCTTAGCCTCCCAAAGTGCTTGGGATTACAGGAGTGAGCCACCATCCCAGCCCTGCCTAGCTTTCTTATCTTACACAAGTAATCTGATCTCTCTAAGCTTGATTCTCCATCTGTACAATGGGAACACTATCCATCCTCATAGGGTTGCGATGGAAATAAAATGAAATAATGCATTCAAAGCAGCTGGTGTGGTACCTGACTCTTAGGAGGAAGCCAAGAAACGTGTTGATGAGTGAAAAGCAGAAACACTAGGATTTGTCCACTGAGTCAATCTGGGGAGTCAAGAGCCAAAAAAGTCAGCCGGGCTCAGTGGCTCACACCTGTAATCCCAGCACTTTGGGAGGCCGAGGTGGGTGGATCACGAGGTCAAGGGATCAAGACCATCTTGGTCAGCATGGTGAAACCTCGTCTCTACTAAAAATACAAGAAAAATTAGCTGGGCATGGTGGCGTGTGCCTGTAATCCCAGCTACTCAGGAGGCTGAAGCAGGAGAACTGCCTGAACCCAGGAGACGGAGATTGCAATGAGCCGAGATCATGCCATTGCACTCCAGCCTGGGTAACAAGAGTGAAACTCCATCTCAAAAAAAAAAAAAAGAGCCAAAAAGTCAGGTTTTAAGATTGGGGAACCAGGACACTAGTCCTTAAGCCTCTTATGGGAACAGATTTTTGTCTCATCCTGCATAGTGAACAGTACTTAAGACAAGAATCAGGATAAGGAGACTCAGAAATGGCCAGAGGAGAGCAGAACCCTCTGGTGCTCCTGGAAAGCTTCTGGGAGTATCATCAACTAAATTGTTTGGAAATAAAAACTAGAGAAGCTAGTTGGCCAGAGTGAAGCTAAGATGAAAATGAATCTTTGTTTCCTAGGCTCACATTGATTGATGTCCAAATAGGATGGAGAGATGGAAAAATCCAATCTGACTTGCAAATTTTGCCAAAAAGACATTCACACAAAGCATCTAGAGTCATTTCTAATAAAAGTCATGGAATTTTCCAAGGAAATCGGTCTGTCTCTACCTTCTTTTGCTCATTGTGTAAATGGTTCATGACGGTGCCTGTCCAGAAGCCTCTCCATCCAGCAAGGCCCAGTGAAATCTCTGGTCCTCTAAGAAGCTTTCCCAGGTCCTTCCAATCTTTCCTCCTCTCATCTCTGATCAGGGTCCACATCCGTTATCTGGTAACCAATCTCAGGTTACCTTAGCGCAGCTCTTGGATTAATACCTATTCTAGTGACTTGCCTGCAACAGTGGTCCATGTAGAATCTAGATCTTAGGTTCCTGAACCCATCATCACAATCACCTAAGAAGCTTTTCAAAAATGTGTATTCTGGGGCCACTATTTCCAGGGGTCAATTCATTTGTAAAAGCTTCCCAGGTGTTTCTAATCAGCAAAGTTTGAGAACCTCTGTTCTAGACTTTGATTAGGAGTGTCTCTGGATGAATTTTTCTTTTATTCAGACACGTGTGCATGCAGCAGACATTTACTGAGTATATACTCTGTTCCAACTACGGATACACTGAGTCATTTTCACAACGATTTCACTGGGTATAATCTCCATGGCCACCCAGAATCATGTTCCTATCACTAGACTTAATGCAGTGCCCTGCTTACAGCTAGTCTCAGTAATTAACTTACCCAATGAATACTATTTAATTTTTGGCACACTTATGCTTTATCTCTTCAGATCCACTACAGGGGTAAAGGCTGGGTTTTATAGGCCGGGTGTGGTGGCTTACACCTGTAATCCCAGCACTTTGGGAGGCTGAGGCAGGTAGATCATGGGGTCAGGAGTTCAAGACCAGCCTGGCCAACATGGTAAAACCCCATCTCTACTAAAAATACAAAAATTAGCTGGGCATGGTGGCAGGTGCCTGTAGTCCCAGCTACTCCGGAGGCTGAGGCAGGAGAATCGCTTGAACCCGGGAGGCGGAAGTTGCAGTGAGCCGAGCCAAGTCTACGCCATTGCACTCCAGCCTGGGTGACAGAGTGAGACTCCCTTTAAAAAAAAAAATCCCCAAAAAAACCCTGGGTTTTATACTTTTTTGTAGGCCAAACCATCTATTTGCATGCTTTCCCCACAGAGTTGGGATTCAATAAATGTTCCTTTATTTGGCTTTGATTTAAACCCATCTCAAGCCTTCTTTAATCTTTGTGTTTTTGATCTAAAAATAAGGCTATATGGTATAATGGGTAAGAAAAGGTTTTGATGACTCTGAATTCTACCCCTGCCACTTATTAGCTGTGTGATCTTGAACAATTTCTCAAACTCTAAACCTCTGATAATTTATTCTCACAACAGAAATAATAACTACGCCAGGCACAGTGGCTCACACCTATAATCCCAGCACTTTGGGAGGCCAAGTGGGAAGGATTGCTTGAGCGCAGGAGTTCAAGACCAGCCCAGGCAACATGGCAAAATTCTGTCTCTACAAAAAATTAAAAAACAAAAAATTAGCTGGGTGTGGTAGTTTGCAACTGTATTTCTAGTTACTCAAAAAGCTGAGGTAGGAGGATTGCTGGAGCTTGGGAGCCAGAGACCGCAATGAGCCAAGATGGTGCCACTGCACTTCAGCCTGGTTGACAGAGCAAGGCCCGGTCTCAAAAAGAAATAGTAACTATTCATGAGATTGTTGATGAGGATTAAATACTGCCTGTAAAGCCCTCGATGCATAGAAGGTACTATATAACCATAGGAGGCAGCTATAATTATTTTAACTACGCGGCCTCTCTAAGTTCTTTATATGTAAAATGAATACTTCATAAGTGAAAATATTGCCTAGGGCCTGGGGCATTTTGAGTGCTTATAAAATGTTAGGAACTAATTAACAATGCTATGTCTCTCTTTCCTAGCCAAGGTCTCTATTTTTTCCTGGATTAAGCCCTTTGGCAAAACGGATTCTTTCCCACCAGCCTTTTCAGGCCTGAGGCAGCCCTATCATATCAAAGCCAGTGTCTACTGAACAGGTCTAGAAGAGCCCAGAGGGAATGGATGGGGCTTAGGTTGCAGCTGTCCTCTCCTGCTGGGGCCCTGTTTCTGGTGAGGAGAGGACTGCTGCTCTGCCAGCTGTGTGGCCCTTTCATCACTGGATATTTCAGGATACAGTCCAAAATACACACTTCACTGGTGCTTCCTTTCAGACAAAGCTCTCTGGAGACTAAAAGCTCATTGGCCTGACCTTTGGTCTCTGGAAGAAGTGAAGGAATATCATCCAGAATATTGTCTAAGAAGACAATGAAGACACCAAGCGCTCAAGCGATGGGTTTGAGCAACAAGGTGGCAGAGCTAGGAAACAGCCGTGATAAGAGTGTTCCAGAGCCGTGATAAGAGTGTTCCGGAGCATTAACAATTGTGATAAAAATAATCTCTGTCTCTCGTGAGGGTCTTACAGTTTAAAAGACATCTATACACATACTAACTTGTTGGCTCCACAACACTCCTCACCCCGAGACTGATGGAGCAGCAGTCATACTCCGTTTTAGAAAGGAAGAAACTGAGTCCGGAGTTGTATGATTTGCCCAAGGTCACAGAGGGCGAGAGGCAGAGCTGGCCTAGGAGCCGGTCTGCTGACTTCAAATCCAGGGTAATCGCGGATTGGGAAGGAATGGAGACCCTCCTTCCACCGGCGTGAAAAACAGAAAATTGAGAGTAAGAGCAAAGTCCACCAAAGGTGGAGGAGCATAAAGAAGCCGGGGTTCAGGGCGGGTGAAGCTGCAGGTTCAGGGTGGAGCCGAGAAATCAGGATAGGGCTGTGGGGTCCAAGGTAGGGCTGCGGGGGCTGAGTCCTGGGACGGGAGCTCAGGGGGGAATTCCAGGGGCGCCGGCCGTGAAAGCGCGAGGCGACCGTGGGAGGGTCAAGGGAGTGGGTGGCTACAAGTGTCTGAATAGAAAACGGAAAGGATGCCCTTCTCTTCCCGGTTCTTCCCGAAGTCGGGAAAAGCTGGGTTGAGAGGGCGAAAAAAAGAAAAAAGAAAAGAAAACGGAAAGGACAAAGATTAATGTGCAATTCCTCCGACTGAGACTCCGAGGCCCCAAACCAGGACAGATAGGAAAGTCTGTAGGGAGCTCAATTGACATATAGAGGCTTTCTCCAACCAAACTTACCGATCGAGCTAATCCCTCAGAAGCAGCCCCAGACTTTTGACTCGACGGAAACGAGAAACCGCCCAGGAGCCCGTGGCCTTTTGGTCGTTGTAGTTTCCAGGGCTCAACAGGGACGCTTAGAAGCACGTCCTGTTCCTCACTCTGGAACTACAACTCTCGATATGCAGAAAGTGAGATTGCGCATTACAATGTAGGACTACAACTCCCAGATATCAACGCGACCCCCCCCCCCCATCGTTGTCGTGCGAAACCGCCCAAGGCTCGGGATGCAGTGCGATTCCTCCCCCTGGTGGCCTGAAGAGGAGCCGCCGCTATTTCTGCTCTCGAGCGGAGGGGTTTTTTGTAATCCCATGTGTAACCCTCCGCCTCAACCTCCTCAAATAGTCCTCAGGCGTGCCTAGAAATGGCCCCCGCTTCGCTTTATTGTCAGGGAGATAGGAGGAGATCGGAGTTTGTCTTGTGACTTTTGCACACTTTGCTTCCTGTAAGAATAACAGACTGTTCATTCAATTAACGGGACATTCCCTCCCAGCCTAGACCTGCTGACACCTGTGATTTTCCATTGTCCTCAAAAGACTTCCTGGCCGAGAAAGGGGAGGAACCCGAGCGATCTGCGGGACTGCATCCACCCCGACATCACTGCCTTATGCTGGCTCTTGGCGACGCGATACCCACTAGCCTCCACAGAATCACAGCCTAGCAGAGAATTCAGACAAATGAATAATGACAGCACAGAGCTGTGATCTCATGGGGAGACACGGCCAGCGTGGGAGCCCGTGCCCAGGCTTGGGGGAAAAGGGCGGTGTCCGCAGGGCTCCTTAGAGGGAGCGGTGTTGACTTTGAGACCGGAAGGAAAGAATGTAGCCAGGAGTACAGAGACTGTGCAGAACATTTCAGACTATGGCAATCAGTCCAGTGCTGGCTGCAGCAGAGTGTGAGGGATGGAAGGAGATATTCTTGGGGGGAGGGGGAGGAGTGGGGGGTAGGCAGAGCCCATCCCTCAGGAGTCCTGGATTAAGTAAACTTCCACAGGAAATTTGAATCGTTCCGGCAGCTCAAAAACGTTCGATGGCTCCCTACTATCTACGAAATGAAGCCCCAACTGCTTAGCCTGACATTCAAGATCTTCCTTACCCAACCTTCACGCCCCCACGCCCCCTTTCCCCACCCTCCTCCTCTAGGAGCTTTGTTCACACCGCCAAAGTTTCCACGACACGTGGAAATTGACTCACACTGCCTTGGGCTATCTCCTGGATTAGAGGTTTTAACTCGACACATTGTGAGCTCTTTGAGGTCAGGTATTGAGTCTGCAGTCGCCCCCTCCACCCACTCTTGCAGCCCACATTCCCTCGAATCACCAGGGTCCAGGGTCCCTGCTTTAGGCTCTCCTCTCCTGCCGACACACTTGTTGTCACCCCCATCCTTCCAGGAGCCAAGATAAAGCATCCGGAGAGAGTTTTGGCAGCGCTGCACTGTGGTAATTAAGCCCCGGCTTTCATTAAATCTGTGGCTGATGGCGGCGACTGCAGAACCTGAAAAGCTCAGTACGGATCAGAGAGCGGCTCCCTTTGGCCCATTAATCCGTGCTGCGCAGCTGGCCAGAACTCTCATGACAAGCCGGAGGTCCTGGTCATGAGAGGGACAGCTGGAGGTCACTTAAGTCTCCTACTCCCAGACCTGAGTTTAAAATTCCCCAGGGACAGGCATGCCACTGCCTCCTTTACCTCCTTTGTCCCTGTTAGGAAGATATTCCTTGGGCACAAACTCTTCCCTGTTGCAAAATAAAACAGTTGAGTTTAACCACACTTCCTTCCAAGCCAGCCTTTTCTGGGATAAACAACCCAAATGCTTTTTTACCTTTTTTAGCAAATGGTTGATTTTCCAGCATTTTCATCATAGATCTCATCCTCCAACAGCCTGAAGTTCCCTTCAAAGTCCGCTGCCACCTACTGTCCCAAGTCTGGCCTTTCCTTTGTCGCTAAATTGCTTCAAGTTGGTATTTGGGTGACCAACTTTGGATTTTCTATTCTCCCACTACCTGCTGAAGTTTGGTGGACAAAACTTTTTCTGTGGTTGTGGGGAGGACAGTCTTGCTCTGTGCTCACTGCAGCCTCTGCCTCCTGGGTTCAAGCAATTCTCCTAACTCAGCCTCCCTTATAGCAGGGATTGCAGGCACATTACCACACCTGGCTAATTTTTGTATTTTTAATAGAGATGGGTTTTTACCATGTTGGCCAGGCTGATCTTGAACTCCTGACCTCAAGTGATCTGCCCACCTTGCCCTTCCAAAGTGCTGGGATTACTGGTGTGAGCCACCACGCCCCACCAGTGGACAAAACTTTTTAAATAAAGGTATAATAGGTATACAATAAAATGTGTAATGTGCACTAATCTTTTTTTTTCTTTTTGAGATGGAGTCTCACTCTATTGCCCAGGCTGGAATGCAGTGGCTTGCGCCATCTCAGCTCATTGCAACCTCTACTGCCCAAGTTCAAGTGATTCTCCTGCCTCGGCCTCCCGAGTAGCTGTGATTACAGGTGCCTGCCACTGCACCCAGCTAATTTTTGTATTTTTAGTAGAGACAGGGTTTCACCGTTTCACCATCTTGGCCTGGCTGGCCTTGAACTCCTGACCTCATGATCCATCCTCCTCAGCCTCCCAAAGTGCTGGGATTACAGGCGTGAGCCCCAGGCCTGGCCGTAATGTGCACTAATCTTAAGTATACAGCTTAATTTCTTAGAAACATTAGCTGTAACTACCATTTACTTCAAAATGGAGAACGTTTCCAATATCCTGAAAGGTTGGTTTCTCAGTTTATAATCCATCAACCCCACCCATTTTCCAGAAGGAACAACTACTTTTCCTTCTCTTATCATCAACTAGTTTTGAGAAGCAATATTTTTTAACTTTGACAATAATATTTCATGCTCAACGATAGGTGATAATTATGAAAACGGCATTCTAGTCAAAAACCACCAGAAACGCACCTGTAATTAAACAAGTTGTATTAGTTACTCATTGCAACAAGGGAGAGTGCAGGCAATGGGGAAATGGTACTGGGGCGGTGCGGGTGGGGGGCATCTCAGCAGGAGGGTGGAAGAAAGGACTTACAGAATCTGAGCTTTTGTTAGATAATTTGGGAGAGTTTAAGGAAGCAGGGCTTGGCTTTAGATTGGACGCTGTCAAGAGCAGGGGTATTTCTATAACTGGGGTCTTGATAAAATGTACCTAGAAGGAGGGGAGGCTAGACCCAGGCTAAAGCTGTCATAGGCAAGAAGCAGCAGTCTCTCATTTTGGCAGCGATAGGGGGATGGTTGGTCTTTTTCGTGGTTTGGACAATATGTATTTTTTGTTTGTGTTCAGACACGATTACGAGTTGTCCTGTTTGTGTTTTGATTATCATAGTCACAGAGTGGCCATGTCTGCTATTGATGTTCTATGAAGTTGTTTATGTCCAACAGGCCAAGGCCAAGGCCTGGCTGTGTCAGACTGGCCCCTGGACTTCAGGGGCTGCCTTCCTCTTTCTTACATCCCAGCATATGGTGATGTTTATTCTGGGCTGCATGCTGGGCATGTAGAAATGATTTGTAGAAAGAAAGAGAGAGAGAAAGAGAAACAGGAGAGAAAGGGAAAGAGAGAGAGAGAGAAAAGAAAAGAAAGAAATGGTTTGTCTTGGTTGGATATCGTGGCTCACGCCTGTAATTCCAACACTTTGGGAGGCCAAGGCAAAGTGGATCAAGAGGTCAAGAGATCGAGACCATCCTGGCCAACATGGTGAAACCCCATCTCTACTAAAAATACAAAAAAAAAAAATTAGCTGGGCGTGGTGGCATGTGCCTGTAATCCCAGCTACTCAGAAGGCTGAGGCAGGAAAATTGCTTGAACCAGGGAGTCAGAGGTTGCAATGAGCCAAGATTGCACCACAGCACTCCAGTCTGGCGACAGAGGGAGACTGTCTCAAAAACAAACAAACAAAAAAAAAAAATTAAAAAAAATATCTGGGCATGGTAGTGCGTGCCTGTAATCCTATCTACTACAAGGCTGAAGTGGGAGGATGATTTGAACCTAGAAGTCTGAGGCTGCAATGAGCTACGATTGCGACACTGCATTGCAGCCTGGGTGACAGAGTGAGACCTTGTCTCTAAAACAAAAACAAAAACAAAACCTCAAACAAATACGTAACTGAGATAATTATATACTATGTTAAAATGCTTCACAGGAAATAGGATGCTGCTTTGTTGGAGAATGAAGGGAGTGAGCTACTCACAACGGAGCGGGAGGGAAGGATTCTCTGAGGAACTGGCATCTGAGCTGACCCTAAGCATACCTACCATTTATTGATCCCCTATGTGTCAGCCATGTCCTTAGGTAACTTTCAAATACTTTACATTTAATATTCATGTGAACTATCTCATATCCTTTCCATTTGCCAGACGAGAGAACAGAGGCTCAAGGAGGTAACAGCAGACAGTGTTGACACCTACCTCATAGCCCCCATCCCTTCTCTGAGTCCCTTCCCAGTGTGGTAGTTCTCAGCATGCTCAGGGCCCCACCACACAAGAGCCTGCTTCTCTTGGCTTCCTTGCCTGAGAGCTTTCTTAGGTATCTATGAACCAGGAGGAACAGGTGCGTTACGTACTTCAGAGGCAACCTTCAACCATCAAGAGAGTTGGTGCCTAAATGCCCAACTTCCCCGTCTTCAGATAACATAGTATTTCTCCTTTTTCTCTCTTTCTTGCTTTCTCTTTCTCTCTCCTTTCTTTCTTTCCTTTTCTCTCTCTTTCTCTTCCTTCTTTCTCCTTTCCTTCCTTCTCCTTCCTTCCATCCTTTTTCCTTCCCTCCCTCCCTCCCTCCCTTTTCTTTCTTTCTCTTTTCTTCCTTCCTTCCTCTTTCCTTCTTTTCTCTTTTTTCTCCTTCCTTCCTTCTTTCCTTCCCTTCCCTTCCTTCCTTTCTCGCTTCCCTTCTTCCCTTTCCTTCCTTCCTTTTTTCTCCTTTCCTCTCTTTTTTCTCTTTTCTTCCTTCCTTCCTCCCTCCCTCTCTCCTTCTCTCCCTCTTTCTTTCTTTCTCTCTCTCTCTCTTTCTTTTCTTTTTTTTTGAGATGGCGTCTCACACTGTTGCCCAGGCTGTAGTACAGTGGCGTGATCTTGGCTCATGGTCACCTCCTGGGTTCAAGCAATTTTCCTGCCTCAGCGTCCTGAGTAGCTGGGACTACAGGCATGTGCCACCATGCCCAGCTAATTTTTTTGTATTTTTAGTAGAGACAGGGTTTCACCCTGTTGACTAGGATGGTCTCTATCTCCTGACCTCATGATCTGCCTGCCTCAGCCTCCAAAGTGCTGGGATTACAGGTGTGAGCCACTGTGCCTGGCCTATTCTTTTTTTTTTTTTCTTTAAATTAAGAGACAGGATCTGGCTCTGCCACCCAGGCTGGAGTGCAGTGGCACAAATAGAGCTCACTGCAGCCTCCCAGCACTAGGCTAAATGAAATGAACTGAAATGTGCAACCGGGTCTGCCTGGTTCACATTCCACAGTCCTCACTCCTGCACCCCGTGACGGGGAGCCTGAAATGGAGCCCAAGCCTTTTACTTATTATATATATATATTTGTTTTTTCTTTCCAACTTTTAAGTTTAAGGGGTACATGTGGAGCCTAAGCTTTTTAGTCTGGCTCAAGGCCCTTCGCATC